TGATTGGTCGTGCTTTTTACAGTACTACAGCTTCCACAGATGACATTTGTTTATGGATTTTTTGTCAAAGCACTTAAGATATTCATTGCTATCGGGATGTTAAGAGCATTCCATGGAATATAACAAAAAGTGTATCTCGAGCCGGTTTCTCAAACTTACCGACCCCACCTTTAAATACTGCTCCTATCCAGAGTAACTCAAAATCACTGCAAGAGCACAAGTGCTTTCCTTGGCCAACCAAAAAAGTAAAAGAAGCTGTTGCTAAGGCGGTCAAAGGGCAGATTTGCGTCTTGGACAGTTCTCAAAGAGGGAGAGTTATCATGTAATAGAGACGTGCTGAGCAGCTAACGACAGAAACAGATGGGAGAGACTTTAAGCTCGCTGCGACTTTCTCAGATTGTTCGCAGTTCAAACTTAGTTCACTGTATGCCCTTTCTATTATATTTTATTGCATCCTGTGCAAAGAAGAGGACATTTCAATGCCTGCTGACCTGTCTTCCACAGAGCTGCCCGTCAGTGTCTGTCTGCAGACTGAATGTCAGTACGCGACAGTCTATGTCATTCTAAGCCTCAAAGTGTATGTTTTGGTTTATTTATAAAGAGATTATTTCATTTTCCTGAACGCAAACCTGACTGTGGGAACAACGAAATAAGGGGAGACGGAGTGCAAGAGGAGATGCTATGATCGAAGTGATACAGAGAAAAAGGATTGATGGAATCAGAAAAAGGTTATTGTAAACAGGTGAAGCCACTGGTGTCTAGCTAGCTAAAGCTTTTCATTTCTACTGATTCCATTACACTTCTCTGTGTCTGAGCACAAACACCGTTAGCAGGACAAACACCGCTGCCTCTGCACACCAATGGGATCCCTCATAAAAGGGCCTGCAAATAAGAGACGGGGTAGGACACCTCTCGGGAAATCAAACACAATAATCCCCACATTGCTTCAGATGCTCTTGGGTTGCTTATTTAACAATAAAAGACAGGGGTCACATCACCTTTTAAACCAATCACAGAGGGTCTTGGAAAGACATCAGCAGCTGTCATGGGCCAAACGCAGAAAAAACGATTACGAAGAAAGACTCTCCAGGACCGGAGAAATGAAATAAGTTACGGAGACAATAACTCTAACTGAGTTGGGCGAGTTTTAAGTGAGTCATTCGACAGCTGGACAGCAGCGGGCCGGGGATCACTTGATCATTTATGAAACTGTGAGAAGCAGAATGGGGTTTTAATAAAGATGAGACGAGGGCAGAGAAAATGTGATTTCTCCCCTGACCTTGAAAATACCATCCGGACTCTATGGGAGTTTCAAAATACAGGATTTAACGATATTACAGATTTGAAATAAATACAAACAGTATTGGGGGATAAGGGGGATTTTTTGGGAGGTTTTTTCCAGTTGACCAAATTAAAAAGCAGTTTTCATCTTCAATATTCCTCCTTCCTTCCCTTATTTACTCACGTATTATAATCAACACATTACTTTCACTCAGAAGGGGCGGAGTCATTTATTATTTTCTATTTTGTGTTGCTAAGTGTGTCCAGTCTTGACATGGCTCATTAAGGCCTGAGCAGACAAAGCCCTGGGTGAAAATGCTCATGTGCTGAGGCATGGAGGAGAAAATCAAGTGGATGTAAGACTGGGAAAGTGTGTGCACTTTTCAGGAAGGTCGGATAAGAGTCCTTCAGGGATACTTCCCCAACATACCGGAGGATACTCAACATGCTGAGGACAATCAAGATGTTGCCCTGTGGTTTTTAAGGGGGGGGCCGAGAGCGCCTGATGAGAGCACTAAGCGTTCAGTCCACAAACAAAAGAACCTGAGAGGCTCCTTGACAGAAAGAGGTACGTGATAAAGGTCTTCAGAAGTCCAAAAGTGGAGGAGCGACTGACATAAAGAGCACTACACAGCGAGCGTTGCTGGCTTAAAAAGGAGACCAGATCCAAACCGAACCACAGACACCAAACAGAAAGTAGTGCCAACTCTTGTAAACCTTAAAATGTCCTCCATCAATCAACAAAATAATGTTGACTAATTTCTGCTGTACTCTATTAGACGAGAACATAATTTGGTTGGGTTCTAGTTATCTCAAATAAACTGTATCTATGTCACAACAAGCAAGCTAAATTTTGCAGATTTTCTTTCTTGACTCCCTAGAAAATGTAGACTCAGCAGCCTGTGACGACCTGGCCTCACACACCTTGCCTCCTCCTCAGTGGGTCATCTCACTGTCCAGATGTGACAGGAGCTTCATAAGCTGGTGTGTGTTCATTCTGACTCAGCGGCTTCACATTAATCACCCAATTATCAGCCACAGCCAGCACCGTTGTCGCGCCAACCCGGCCCTCCTAATCCAATCACCTCGGGGGAGTGGGTCAGGGGTTGCTCTGATTGGATAACCCCGGGCTGGGTCGCCGAGCCCATGACCCGCTGCTTTGAATTGGTAATGATGTTAATATTCTCCATATGGCGGTGTGTGTGTGTGCATCTGTGTGTGTCCCCAAGCACAGAGCCTCTCCGCAGGCTGAGCTGCACCCCGGCGTTAATGGCCGACGGAGACAGAGGTAAGAGCCAAAGTAGCACTATCCCCCCCCCCCCCCGGGGCCAACCACTCGACGCAGCCCTTTCTCCAAATCCTCTTTCCCAGACTTCAGCTCCTCAAGTTGGCTGCCGCGCTGTAGCTCTCGGCACTGAGTCCCAGGCGGAGGTCCGTTTTCTTTCCATGCTTCCTTGGCATCCACTCCTTCAGGTCTAAAGAAACTCTTGATTTGAGAGCTGGGAATAGCCAGACAGATCTGCCAGTGAAGGGAAATCTGATAAAAACAAGAAAGTTGGAAGGCAACTTGGCAAACCTACTGTTTTTTTTTTTGACTGGGAGGAAAGTGGAATACACTGTATTTTTTAAAAGCTACAAAAAGTCAAATTCAGTTGAACGCATGTAATAAAAACAGAACCAAAAACACTGAAATCTCAAAATGCAATGGGCCATATTTATGTGTTTTCTTTTGGAGAGCTACAATGAGGATGGACGTGTTTGACACTTAAAGTGAAATATTCAAATGTGTGCTTCAATTTCATCGCCATCCTTCTGACTCATTCCTCTCCTCTCTCCATTTTCTCCCATCTGTGAGGTGCTTTGCTACATCTCCTGTACTATCCATGCACACACACACATACACACACACACACTCACACTCACCTCCTTCACTCCCACCCCTCCAGCTGCAGCCCCAGCCGGCTCCACACAAAGGCAGGCCAAATGTATGCTAATGGGAGCCAGGCCAATGGTGGAGCCGCACTCATTTTGAGAGGAAATGGCTTTCAATAATGGCGGCCCCCGGGGGGATTTCGCACAAAGTTCAGCTCCACTTTGAAAAATGCATTCAATTCACTGCTCTCTCTTTTTCTCCTGTTCTTTCCCTCCATGAAAAAAAGAAAAAAGATTTCCCGGAATATATTTGCGTCCTCCCTCCTCTCGCCTCTGTGTTTATGCTAGTGGGAGTTTTTGAGGGGGGGGGGGGGGGGGACTGAGGAGTCATGATTTATCTTGACAGAAACAAGAACACAAACATGTGAGTTTGAATAGTGTTCAAACTCTATCTGGCACTGCTCCTCTGCTGAGGCAAATGTCCCAAGAAGCATGATAACTGTACTGTGTGCATTTCAAACGAATCCTATCCTGTGGGTCTTGGGCCTAAAAATACTTCAAAGAGGAGACAAACAACAATTAGATAACAACGGGAATATTTCTTGAGCTAATGAACATTATCTGAACCGTACTTTTTATCTGAACGCCTCAAAATACAAGCCACAGAACATGAGAGCTGCTACATCTTCATTATTCAAAGAGGCTAGAACAGAGAATCGGACCTTTTCACAGGAAGCATATTGCCGTGTCATCGCAGGGTAAACACGGCTGTAATTAATAACATATGGAATAACAGCCGTTTGTTCTATGCAATGACTATAGGCGCCTACGTCTGGTCATCTTGCTTTAAAACCTATTCAAACGGTTAATGGTTTTCCAAGATTCTTGTCGACTAATAATTTCAGAAATAAAACGTTCATTTCTGAACGCCTGGGGAGGTTTTCAATTTTCCGGACTTGCCTCAATATTATTCCGGAGAAAGTTCTGATAAGTGCTTCTTTTATCTGCGCCTGAGTGCAGTCTGAGCTGTCAAAGGTCATGCGGGTGTCTCTCGGTGTGTCTGTCTTCATTTGGGTTTGTCTCCACAGCTGGATAATCTGTCCCTGCGCTCATCCTCATGTCCCTCCTCTCCCTCAGATTCTCAGTGTGTGTGTGTGTGTCCCCCCCCGAGCTGGTGCTGATGTCTGAGCTTCCCTGGTGCCTGTCATATCAGGGGGGGCAATAACCCGTGAAATGACTGTTCTCTTTTTCTCACTCCGCCTCCTTTCCATCCCGGTGTCCCTTCTCTTCCTCATTCTCGTCCTCTCACTTTCCTCGCTCCACTTCGCTTTCGGGGGGGGCCGCCAACATCACAAAGATGGCGCTTGCTCGGCGTGTGCGCACACACACACGCACTCTCACGGACTGTAATGAGGAGAGGTATGTGTACCTCATTTGACATGGGAGAGTTTAAACAAATGAAAAAGGAACATGTGCGGTTCTGTTAAACCCACACTAGAGGGTATACATTCTTCATACCACCCCCTCTGCGTGTGTGCATGTGTGTGTGTGTGTGTGTGTGTGTGTGTGTCAGATCCTCCTGCCTGTGCCCTGCTCTCTGGAGAGCTGAGCACTCCTATTCCTAGGATGAGTAGACGCTCCCAAGGCAAACACTCCAGATTTAATTATAAGCTCCAAAGAGGATTAGTCTGTGCTGTGTGTGTGTGTGTGTGTGTGTGTGTGTGTGTGTGTGTGTGTGTGTGTGTGTGTGTGTGTGTGTGTGTGTGTGTGTGTGTATTGGAGACACAAAGGGAGGGAGTGGCAAAGTTGTCCCTTTATTTCCTGCATCGTGGACAGAGTGGTCTCACCTGGGTTGTGTGGGGTACTGCCGGTCCACCTCTTCGTAGCGGGGCGCCGTGCGAGACTCGGCTCCTCTGGGTGCCATCTGTGAGGAGAGGCAGGATAGAAAAACGTAAGGAGACTAAGAAGGTCCAAGGATCAGTCCAACAGCCAAAACACCCTTGAGCAACTAGTTTGATTCATACTGTAATTATAGAAGGTAGATTACAAAAATTAGTTAAGCTGTTTGCAGATTGTCGGCCGACTGAAGCAGAACAAACGTATCCTCAGGCTATACGCTTAACCTCAATAATATGGAAATTAAGCGGACGAATATTCAGTATTTAGATGTATCGTGTGCAGCCAAACAAGAGGGAGAACTCATGCAATGCCCCACATGTGGTAACGTCAACACACGTAACCACATGTAAGCAGCCCCTACATTGACCATGTGTGTGTATTGTTCATACAAACATGCCAGTTATATGAAGAATATGACATTATAGGGTAGGTTGTTCACGCTGTCATCCACACACTAGGATGGGATTGATTAAAGTCAGAAATCTGGTCAGCTCAGCACAGGCAGTATGAGAAAAATAAAGAGCTGTTTAATGAACATTAAAGCATGTCACAGGAAAGGCACTAAATACAAATGTGAATCTGAAAACGTACATAATATGTCCTCTTTAAAGTTTTTTGTGAGCTCACATGTAGAAAAGCGTGCCTTCATGTGCTTGCACAATAGGTGCAGGGTTACAGCAGTACACAGGGGTTTAAACAAAGACAGAGAGGAGAGAGCATACAGTTTCAATCATCTGTAATCTGGGTTCTGGGCTCTGTTTCCACATACAAACACAGGCTGTTTACTCAGAGGACATTTCACCGGTCAAACACACCGCACACCACTGTAGCGTGACATACACACTCCAGCAGTCACACACTGAGGCAGCCTAACATACAACAACTGACATGTGTGTACATAAACACACAATCACAGGTCCAGCAGACCCCCACATCTAAAGAGGTAAACACATTGTGAAGCCTCATGCACAGAGTTTAGTATCACACACACACACACACTACAGAGTCTAAATGACTCCGTGAAGGACGAGTGTATCGCCGTGTTTTGCATGTACGTATGAGTTTAAACTCATTCTGTATGTCAATGCCTCAGCGGCGCATTACCAGATATCATTAGCATGTAATGTTGGAAGCTCTAATGCCTCTGAATGGGAGCCAGGAAGTGAAAGCACATCAGAGGCAAGGCTGCTGCGCCATTCACTAAAGTGGCTTTGTGCCTGTGTGTGTGTGTATATGTTAATATTGTGGAAGTGCGCAGGTTTAATATGATGTCTGGAAGCGGATGCTCCATCTTTTGGATGGCTGTGCCTGTGCGGTAGGTAGGGGACATTATGCGTAATGTGAGGTAAAGGGGACATTAGTCTCAGAAAGAAGCTGGGACTCAGGTGGGAGGCCTTCTGTGTGTGTGTGTGACCAAGTGTGTGTGTTTCACAAGACATCATACATCTTCTGAGTGTGAAGCGCAGCAGAAGGGAAAAGGAAGATTAGGAGGGGAGGAAATGTGTGTTTGGATAAAATGAGTGATACTCTTTGTCCACTGATTGTATTAACATAGTAGCCTGCAGACATAGGCCTCAATGATTCCTTTATTAACTACACACACACACACACACACACACACACACACACACACACACACACACACACACACACACACACACACACACACACACACACACACACACACACACACACACACACACACACACACACACACACACACACACACACACACACACACACACACACACACACACACACACACACACACACACACACACACACACACACACACACACGCCTTTTCTGCAGAAGCCCATTTCCCCAAATTAGACAGCCAGCTTCAGTGCCAGATGATGTGCCTTAAAAAACAGCTGTGGCACGCACACACACACACACACACACACACACACACTCGCAAGTACACGAACACACAAAATAAGTCTCGGTCTCACCATGGCAACTGGTGAAACAGCAATATGAAATTCATCCAAGTTAGAGACAAAACGCAGCAGTAAAAAAACTTCTGAATTGGCGGTCAGACAGAAAACGGCCTCGTCTTCAGAGCACCGGAGGCGGAAACGTTGATGTTGTTATTCCTCGCACGCAAGTTCACGTCCTCATGCTGAACCTGGTGACATCACATGTGTATCTACAGTATATGTATGTGGTTATCAGTGGAAAAGTTAATGTCTTGTGCAGACAGTAGCTGACAGAAAGCCAGATTCTCTCCAGACTGCCTGCCAGACCACAATAGAGAATTTCCCATTTCTCATTACCGTGTCATGTGGGAAAATTGTAAAGCTGGAAGACTTTCTTAATCTTCCACTGCTGTTGTGTGTAATCTACACCCAAAGCTTACAACCAGCAGATCCTCAGACTTGCTTTTTAATACTTTGTCATCAGGGAGAGCAAATCAGCTTAAACATATCAGGAACAATCTTTGTTGTAAAGAGTATAATTGTGCAGAGTCATTGCTGCAGCTGACGAACGCTCCGGCAGAGTGCTTGGCACGCGTGTGTGAGTGTGAATGAGCAAAATGTCACTTTTCCCTTTTTCCAAATTAGAAAGCCCCGTCTTGACAGTGCCAGATGATATGCATTGCAACACACACACACACACACACACACACACACACGTCCCAATCAACTACAGCAGCACAGCTGTCGCATTCATCAGAAAGTATTGCCGGGGATCAGGAAATGAATTTTCTTGGAGCACTTTTGGCTTCGCAATGCTCCCATATACAATAAGCCTTATACGAGAGTCCAAGTGCTTTGACACAATGCCTGAGCAGGGCTTTTATCCTGGGACTGAGATGCTCAGATTTGCCTTTTTCCAAAGCCATTCGCTGCGCCGTCTCCTGCCAAACGGCATAATTAGCCTCCTGTACTGCCATCTATTCCTCTCCCATCCATCCATCCCTTTCTTCCCTCCTTCCATCCATCCGTCTTGGATGCTAATTACGCATGTGTCTCAGTGTGGAGCCTCTGCTGGCGCCCCATGCCCACCTCCTGTTGGCAGCCTCACCCCCACGCCCTGCATCCGACTGGCACGAGGAGGCGGTAAACACCCGATATCCATCCACTGTGATGAGATAGTGCTGATGCCCCATGAGAGGAGGGGGAACAGATTAAGGGAAGGGGCTGGCAGAGAGGAAATCTGTTAAAGATTTTGCACGCATGAAAGGGGGACGCAAAACAAAACGGAAAGTCAAACTGCCACTTGTTGTTGAGAGCAAGACTGTAAACTTGTTATGTTGAAATACAGAGAAACAACACCTTTATATATAAAGGTAGACACCCACCCACACACAGTCTGCAGGGTAACATAATGCAACATGTTGTTAAGATGCACAGTTACACAATGTCTGCATGCATATTTCGAAAAACAACATTAATAGTCAGGATGGATGGATGTTAGGGCACTGCTTTTTCAGATAGAACTGGCCAATGTAGTTTTAGTCTTAAAAAGGACATATTATACTATTTTTTTCAATTGTTCCGACACCATATGAAATCAGAACCAATGCTCTTCCATACCATGTTATGGAACATGATTCATGATTCAGAATCACTCACAAATGTAATGTGTTATTTCTTGGCCTTTTCAACACTCTTCCACTAAGTTATATGAAAATCTGGTCAGCCGTTTTTCCCTAATTCTGCAAACAGACGGTCAAACAGTTAAAAAAACATCCTTTGCTAAGGTAATCATCTCGTAGACTCTCTTAAACTTCTCTGTTCATTCCCTTGTGTATCTGATTGAGTGTCTTTCTACAATAGAACGTTTTTCTACATGTTTTCATAAAATAGCTTGTTGGCATAGTTACCGACTAATAACCAACCAAATCTGGAAAAGGTCAGAGCACCTCTTTCATGCTAAGCCGCTGGCACACACAAGATTATGCTGTATTAAGACGCTCCGAGTGTGTGTGTATCAAACAGGAGGCTCACTTGCCCCCCGATGTACACTAAACACTCCCACACCTGGACCCTGCTCACTCTGAGCTCGTTAGCAGCAGATGGTACACACACGCACACACCCACACACCCACACACACGCACACACCCACACACACACACACACACACACACCCACACAGGGGGGGTCCAAAGGTTACACACACTCAGACTGGAATGCAGTCTATTTTGGTAATAGGCCAATCTGCTGGTAATTGTCTTCATTGTTAGTGTTTGTCTAGGCCTCAACTCTTGACCTTCGAATGGCTTTCACACATTTACATACAGCTCTGGACATTGAATGGATGTGTGTGTGTGTGCGTGTGCGTGTGCGTGTGTGTGTGTGTGTGTGTGTGTGGGTGGTTTAATCTTCCCATGTGAGGATGTAACAGGTAGGGGGAAAAGACTGTTTAGCTAATTATCTACATTAGATAAGTACGAGTTGTACATGCTTTCGCTAAGTCTCTCTACAGACTACGTTATCTGTCTGAATACATTTGCTAAGCTCTCAAACGGTTTGCATAAACTAAAAATGTCTAAATGTTTACATGCATCAGAGAACTTTTAAATACAAGTTCTACTTTCCCCGAAATGTACTGACGCCACTGGCTCGAAGTGGACCAACAGAAATATGTTTCGCAACCCATGAGTATTTCATTTGTTTAAAGGAACATTTTATAACTGGATGATTGTTATATCCTTGAATGGGCATCCACATATAAATATTTAGGGTAATGAATTGATTGCTATTCTCTAAAATACACCCATATTTAACATTAATAGACCCGTATAACACCCCTATTTAACCATTATTACACCCATCTTACACCAATATTACTGCTGTATTACACCCATGTTCCACCATTTTAGCACCCATATCACACCCATGCTTCACTGTAATTACATCCATTAAGAATGTGTTTTAGACCTTTTATGGGTTAAATCACTTGTATTGTTTTTGGTTTGTTCTGATTGTAAACAGAATATTACATTTCATGTTAACTAAACTGCCCGCAAACATAATTAGTGGCTTGCAGAACATTGCCTAACAGAGGGGGACCTA